GGATGTAAACTGAGACAGTCACATAGATGTTATGCACTGGCAGAAACAGTTGTTTAAAAACTAATAAAGGGAAAATTCTCATCTACAATCTTACATGAAGGCACACGAGTTGCTATAACATTGTCTAGGCTGGAAGATTAACTCCAGTAAGTTTATTTACAAAGCTTAACTGTATCTGCTCTTTTCATTAAACATGATTAAAAGAAATAAACAGAACTTGAAACCACTTAACTAGACGTGAAGAATGGAATGAGACAGTTTTTATTAAGGTTGACTGACTATATTAGATTAATTTAAGATAACTTGCTGCAGTTGTAAGTCAGGGAACAACATGACTTATTTTTTTTCAGATGTATTTAATAGTTTGGTTTTGGTTGGTTTTGTTCAGATTATGAATTAGAGAACAAAGCGTTTTGAAAAAAATGTCAGGATTTATTTTAGAACTAGGATTGTGTACTGTGAACACAAGATTAATTACTTGATGAACACAAGCTTCAGAAATTAAAAGATTCAAGCAAATCACTCTGGCACTAAGGAATGAATTCCTACTGCATACAAAAAAATAAAAGGTTTGCATAACTGCTTAAAAAAGTCTTTTTGGTAGCAGCAGGGACAAAAATCAAATGCCCTTTCCTGAAGCAATACCTGATCCTGACAACAGAGTATGACACAGATCTGCACAGTAAACCAATGTGTCATGTCACAGGTTCCTTGGATATTTCATGCTGAACTTCACAATTGCTATTTCTATCTAAGAATATTTTCAGCTTTTTCCCCAAAGTACTATTTTGATGCTGAGTTCCTCTCATGAGGAATTACACTCTGTTTCCATTAAAATCAATGCAGTACTTGCAAGTGATTTAATGAGAACTGAGCTCTGGTCTTTTGCTCTTCTACCTTTAGAAGGATCAGAAAAGCTACAGCCTGTGACTCTTAAAATTGCAAGATATTAATTCTTATCCCATCCACTTCAGTGAAAGCCAAGAAATTGCCATGTGCCTCACAGACAGAACAATCCTTTAAGCTGTATTCTTCTATTAGTAAATATTCCAAGAATCCTGGCCTGGATATGAGAATTCAGCTAAAATATTACTTTCAGGATGGATATAGCAATGACTTAGAAAAGTGATCCCCCTGAGCTATATTTAGGCACTTGAGGGGGCACAGGCTCAATAGAAGAGAAATTAGATACAACAGAAGCTGTTCAGTAAGTTGGAAAGACACACAGAAGATGTGAACTCTTCCAAAACCAACTAGCTATGACAGGATGCTTAGGAAATTTGCACAGGCTCTGCAAAAGCTACTGAAAAGAATGTTCCTTCCCCCCAAAACATGTCCATGATCCACTTCTTCTACAGGTAGTGTCTGTTGCCACGTTTTATTTTGTTCCTTATCAACGGAGCAGGCAAATCTGATCATCAGTTCCCTATCACCCATCCAGAGGCACAGCCTTCAAAGGGCTGCAAACTTCATCAGTTCAGCAGAGATCAGAGGAAATCAGCTCATATTGTATGAGCAGTGTCTGTCAGAACAGAGGAGAGATGCTGACACATGGAAAGGGGAGTGGGCACATAGCAGGAAACCACACCAAACAGGTCCAGATATGCCATGAAGGAAGTTTTCCCCTGCTGACAGGCAAAGAAACATCTGAGATGTGTTTGACAGTGCAGAAAGTCACAGATGAAATGCTGCACAAAGATGAAATGCCTGTTAAGCACTGAGCCTCCCATGATCAAAACCTAGCAAATCTTCTCTAAACATGTGATATGAAAATGCTGCCATATAAAAATTAATAATGGTCCAGGAGCCTCTTTATAATGCTGGGGGATCTAGATTTTGCAGGGAAAAACAGGTCTTAGCACATCTAAAGTATTGTCAGGGTATCACCCAGAGTGAAGACCTCCATCTGTGGAGGCATTTATTCACCTAAAACTGTCACAAAAGGGATGGGAGAGAGGGAAAAATAGCTGTCAATGGAAAACAGTATCAGTGGAAACACAGCAATGTTCTCTACTGCTGACAAGACCAGTTGAACACACAGAATACAGAGTGGGCTCAGAGAGGTTTCTCAGCACTGCACACAAGTTTTGTGGCCTTAACTTTGCTTAAAGTTGCAGAAGTTCCTATTCTTGGAATACAGAACTGCTGAAAATTAGCTATTGCACCAAATTTCATTAGAGAAATGAACAAAAGAAAAACTGGAAGTGGAGACAAATGCTAAAAATTTAACATTACCCAGGACCCAATGCTGCAACATTACCTGGATTGCACCTTCTGAGACAATTATGCTCAGCAAATGTAGGAATAATATATAATCTTATGGAAGCAAATCTATAATCTTATGGAAGCAAAGCAGAAAATAGTGTGTGGGCCTTTGTTCTTTCTGCTCTTAATTAATGTAATCTTAATGTGTGGTTTTTTTATTCTTCACATTTAAATTACATATTTCAGCGATAAAGACACTGATTTTCCTAAGATTTTTTTGTTGTTTGAGAAGGAACATGAATAAGAAAAATACAGTTAAATACCAATAGAGCTAAGATGTATTTTCATCCTTTAGCAATATTTGAGTACTATGGGAGAAATGTATTCTAAAGTGTTTTAAGAGGGTTCAGTCCTTGATCAGCCTCTGCAGTGCCACAGGGTTATTTCTGGTGCCTTCCTGCACAGACATTAGTGTATGAAACAGTGAAGCAAATTTAAAAAGACTCCTAAAATGTTTCAAATCCTCACTGGAGGCATCAAGTGCATCTTTTGATTCTAAAGCACAGCTTCATTACACCTGCTCTAGATTTGCCTTCCACACCAGTTCACTTCCAAATCATTTTGTGTATTAACGTGGAAAAAAAAAAACACCTGCAGATAAAATCAAACTGTAAAACCAGCTTTTAAAAATCAAATTCCTCTGGCCCCACATTTACAAAGAATGAAACCGAATGAGAAAACGGGAAAAAAATAGTTCTTATTTGCCCTTTCAGAGTCTATTTATTTTTTTATAAAACAGGCTGCCTGCAAGTTTGCAGGCTCATGTGGAGATGAATCAGAGATGAGACTGATACAGAGAGAACACATTACCCAGATAAAACAGTGAAGCTTTTAGTCCCTTTCTAGCATCAGGGAGAGTTTGTTTCTTATGACACAGCTGCCTCCTCAGACCTTTTCTGCTGCTTAGATGAAGGCCACAGAATGTCTTTTCAAGCCTTCTGCTGCTGCAGATCTACATTGAGCACACTCATTTCTTTCTCCAAAGTCCTGCAATTAGTTTTCTAAGTTTAGCATAAACTATGTCCTCTTGGCATAGGCAACATACTAAAAGCAGAGAAAGAAGTAGAGGGACATCAGCTTTAAGATTCATCTGAGGTGTGGGCATTAAGAATAATTGAGTTTATCCCAGATTTTAGTGTACTGAGATGCTCAGTGTGGAAGAGACTTCACCAATTTTATTAAGAGGCTCAAGCTTGGAGTGTCAGACAGAAACCTGACAGCATTTTGCACCTGCTGACAACTGTTGTGTATGAATCGAGGCTACCAGAAATGGCATCAAAGTCTAGATAGAGTGGAACAAAGATGCAATCCTCTACATGAACAAAAAATGCAAGAAGGATATAATGAGCATCTGAATCACCTTCACAGTATCAAAAAATCCTCATTAGCAATAGCTGTGAAAAAGTTCTTCTAGATGGCAACTATTGCCTTCCAAAATATTGGGTAGGCTCATTTAGAAATCTAATATTTTGTTTGGAAAAAGACACATTTTTCAGTACTTTAGATTCTCTAAAATTCCACAGTAGGCAATATTAGAATCCAAATATTTCGATACTTTTTGCCTTCTTTCTGAAATCAAATGGAACATTAAATGTTCTCTTCTAAAAGTCTGAAAGAACAACAAATTTTCTAAAATCCCACAGAAGGCAATATTAGAATCCAAATATTTCAATACTTTTTGCTTTCTTTCTGAAATCAAATGGGACATTAAATGTTCTGTTCTAAAAGTCTGAAAGAACAACAAATTAATGCCAGTGCCAAGTCATGTGCTTGAGTTAGACATAAAACTCTTCCACAGTTTAGACCTTTACAACTGCTAGGTTTGTACCTTCTATTCTCTGTAGTGCTTTGACTTAGGCTCAGTTTGGAATATATCTGTGATATCTCAGGTGCAAGTAAATGGAAGGATTTAGGAATAAACCTACAAACAAAATAAAAATGACAACGACTTACTGCAGGTCCAATTATTCCCAGGTGGACACTGGGATCCTTCCTGTGCCAATCTAAAACAGAGGAAGAACAGATTTCTTCATTAGTGAAAATTCTGAAGTTTCAAATTGAATTTTCTCTCGGAAATCATTGTAAATAGCTGCATGAGTAAAGAAGAATTAGGCAAATATTGTTATTACTGCTTTAAAAGACTGAATGTGCACCAGATTTCACGCTCAGCCCTCACATTACTCCTCAGAATTCAAATATTAGCATATCTGAAAGTTACTATTTAGCCTTTCTGTCTCATGCAATCTCTTATGGCTCAAGGGTTATTTAACTAAGCTCAGATATTAATTTTAAATCACTCAAGAGAACAATGCTCTGTATAATGCAGTGGCTCTGGCCACTAAGCCAAAATCCTTTGAATTTTCTCCTATGTAAAGGAACATGTGGAAGTAACTGCAACCATTACAATGATTACTCAGTTATATGCACAAGAGAAATCTGCTGCTCTTTCAATACCAGAATAGAACAAAACCTGATACTTGAATAAAGTACATTTGTTACTCAGGATCACAAGGTGATAAAGGTTTATAGAACTCAGCTTAATAGTGCAGGTTAAATTTCCAAATGTAGAATGCTTGAACCTGTACAAGACACAAACCCAACTGGGCAAAACATTCCCTTATGTGAGGATAAAAAAACTTCAGCCCAGTTTACAGTGTTGAGCCAGAACAATGGGTGGTAAAATTTTTTTGCCACTTCAATGCCATTAATTATCACACATGCAAATCGATGCAACAGCCATGGGAGAGCGAGAGAAAAAAGTCATTTTGAAGTAGGTGATCTTTTCTTTTGTCTTCCATCAATATTGTATGTAACAGCAAAACAGTTTTCCCAGCAAGTAAAACCATCAACTAGTGCTTTGATTTTAATGCTCTGTTCTTCCCAGCAGGCTGGAAAAGACACAGCACAGAATAATGCGTGGAACAGATCAATGGTTACATAAGCATTGCTTGTTTCAAATGTAAATATATTATGAAGTTTTCTGCCATGAATAAAACAGCTCGTGCCAAACTTATAAACATTCAAAGAAAAGCATCTGACTGCAGCGACAGAACAAGGGAAATTCAAATAGCCAGTACTCACCTGAAAAAACTTCCACCAAGTACAGAGGGTCTTTGACTCTTCGAAGTCCACATATCAAAAGAAACAGGTGTAAACTGTCTGTGTCTGTAGGAATGTCTGTAACAAATGGTTTGGAAAGTCTGAATGCAGATAAAAAAGCTGAACACTCTGAATTGGTCTATAAATGAGCATATAGAGTGATAAAAGCAGTTATAGAGTGGAATCTGAAAAATGATCATTGTTGTTCTCTCTGTTGCTTGTTCTTCCATCAATCCTCAGATCTCCTCAGTGGAAAACTTCAATCATTTTATAGGCCATGGGATTTCATATCCAGAGGCAGTGAATGTGCAAGGTTTGGGGCAAAATTTGGTGGCTGGTATTGCTGAACACCAAAGCCCAGCCTTGACCTGCCTTGCAACTAAACTCACTGTGTTCCTCAATATTTCCACCCATAAGAAGAATAAATTTGCATCCACAACTTTGCATCCACTCACTACCTATTTCCAGGAGATGAGAGGTTTAGTTCACCAATTGCTGTATAGCTTAGAGCTCTTGATCTGACACTTTTTCTTATAAAAGATCAGGAAAAGTCCCAGAGTTCTCCATCCCTAATATGCTACACAATACTTAACTAGAAGTTAAATTATAGCAAAGCATTTGTTTTAAACTTATTGCTAAGACACAACTGAAAAATAACTTGAGGGAAAAAGCTTCAACATGGGAGTTTTTAACAATGAAAATCTCTTTTGCAAATACACAGAAGCAATCCATAAAAATAACTGTGTAGGCTCTACTAGAAAAAGATGATCTGATGTATAATATTACAGTTGCCATTGGCTCTGTGACAGCACAATTAATTCAGATCCTACTTCTGGAGAAGGGTCACCATGTGATGAACTTTGGGAAAATGCATTTAGGATAAATCAACATCATTCACAAAATGCTGAGTGAACACAAATAACAACAACATAATTTAATAAACACTAGAGGGGCTGAAATGTTGGTATTTGATTTACTGTACTGAACAACTCAGTTTGCTCTCCTTCAGTTCACCTATTTATGGAGCTCATGGCAAGGATGGATGAACTATTATCTAACTCTAGGCAGTTCAAGGAGCAGCAAAGTGCTGCAACCTATGTGTGGGACATCAAGGCATGGGTCCCACACCAAGGTTCTGTTTGCATAGTCAGAAAGTTGTTGCTCTTAAAATTAAAATCCAGCTCAGGAACACTTAAATTCTCCTTGTCACAGGGTTCATTACTGAGTCTGTTTCATTCAACTTAACTGAAGTTGGCAGGAGTGGCTGCTGCAGACATGGTAAATAACATTTCACTGACTACTGGACCAAGAAATCATTTGTAATTTATAATACACAAACATTTGGATTGAGAAAGCCATTCTGGTGCAATGGACCATTAATACTGTTTTGTTTTAAGACATGCAGCAGTGGTTTCAATTTATGACACAAACTCACACAAAACAAATTACTAAAAAGTGTCAGTAGAATTCAGACTGCACTTTAACTATCCGTAAGGCACAAATAATTATTTTCAGTTATGAACTCCCACCTATCAAAGTTCAGCTCTGGCTATTTTGGAACAAAACTGAAAGTTAGTGCTGAAAGCTCAGACAGGAGTGAGAAAACCTATTCCTGTGCTCACGTAGGGACTATAGAATTATTGCACTCTGGAAATAACTGCTTCTTTTTATCTCCTATCACCTTTTTGTTGCTATCTTAAAGCTTTCAGTCTTTTAATTTCATTAGATAAGAGTTTAAAGCCCCAATAGACCAGTTCTGTGCAGTCCTGACTGACATTCTGTTCCCTGTTTGAAACAACCTGAAAAAGAAACAGCAAACTGACCCCACAGGCTTTGGGATTTTTCCATTCCATTCCCCCAAGAATCTCATCAATAACAACCTAATTCTTTCACTAGTGAAATTACCTAAATAATATTTATTAAAGAAAATAGTTCACTCAATTGACCTCTATTACATTGAAGAGACAGACACAACTCTCACAGCAGATCATCCCCTTCATGCAGCTTTACAAAGCCCTACTTGTCTATCATGAAATATTATGCATTTTTTCTGAAACAGGAGTTTTTGGGTACACTGGGTTACACACTGGATCCCACATGGCATTTCTAAACACTTCCATGAAAGTGCTAGTTGAAAAGGATTTGCCTCTGCCATTCAATTGAGTGAAGTGAGAACCTGTTGCAGTTTTATTTCTCTGCTGCAGATCTTAGTCAGCACCTAATTCATTTTTAAAGGCAGATTTTCCCCACTCTTAGAAAGCATATAAACTATTCCTGAGAAGATTGCACTACCATCACAGCCACTGGTTAGTGCTGGGAGTTTACTCATTCTCTGCCTACTTAAGATCAAATTCAGCAGCACTTGTGTAACTTGTGCACTCTCTGCTCAGTCACTGGAAATGGTTAAATTTGCACATCAAGGTGCTGCGTAGCTGTTTTCTCACCTGCTGCTTTCTCAAGCCTTGCTAGCAACACTGCTGGGAAAAAAAAAACCTCAAAACAATAAACAGCCATTTGTGCAAGCAAGCAATCATTTTAGTATGCTTTGTCCTCTCCAAAACACTGAAAAAGGGAATATATGAAGAGAATAAGTGCAATAGCAGCTTTACCAGCTACAGCCATCAGCTGGGTGAAAACTGCTCATTGAAAAATGACATTTCTTCTTTTTCCCTGAGCTTAAACAAGACTTTGAGTATGTGAGTTTCTGCTGTCATCCTGCTTTTCCCAGACAGGATGCTTAATCTCTAATAAGATACTACCACCTTGTGTGATTCTGCAATGAAAAGACATCAATATGGCACAATCAACTGATTTGCCCTTTGGATATGTTCAGTGTGTCACTGTCTTGTTTGAGTGACAGGCAAACACCCAAATAACACAAAGATCCTTGTGTCTGTTTCTCCCCATTTCTGTTTGTGATACAAAAGCAAAGATTTCCAGCAGCACCCTGTGCTTCATTATCTCTTCCCTCATGCATCTTTCTGTTTCTTTTGCAAAGAAATACAGATTTGTACATAACCACTGGCAATTAAAAAAAAAAAACAGACTGCATGGTACATGTTTTCCAGCCATCCCACGCTAAGTGCAAGTCAAGTCCTGCCACTGTAATCAGCATTTCTGTCAGTGTCAAAAATAATTGTCTGAAGTCAGTAAGAGAATTTAAACATGTGTTGTTGGTATTTATGGTTGTAGTCTCATTTCTTACATTGGTTTTATCTATAGAAACAGCTGCATGTTGGCCACAGCTAGTCTTGAGCCTGCTTAGCAGGTCACCTCTTTAGCAAGATGTGAGGTCAAAGCAAGAACAGTGATTGATAGGAGCATGAAAATTCACCCCTCTCATATGCTGTCCTAGTATGTCACACAGGACCATGGAGATGGTCAGAAATAAACCACAGGTGAGCTGAAATGAGAGAGACACAGCAGAAGATTAAGATGGGCATGGAACTCCCACAGTCATGCAACTCCTGCTCCACGGTGGAGCAGAGAGGGTGTTATGCTGCTCAAAATTGAAACACAGCAATGTGGCACTGGCACTTCAATTTTCAGAGTGAAATTGCATGATCAAGAGGGTATCCAACTGCTGTGTCAGTGCTATCTGTTCATTGCATAGGAGCCTGGCACCAAACATATTGGTTAGTAGGTGAAATGTGTTTTACTAAACACATTTCATCTACTAGGATTCATCTACACAGGATTCATGTTCTCCTGCTGACTCTGATTGTGAGTCATAGCATGGCCTAGAGAAAGTTTATCAAATCTAGACTTATTCATCTAGACTTACCCATTCACCTGCAAGCAGGTTTAATAATTGCTTCTCATGAAGAAATGGGGCTTAAGCAACTAGGTTTAACTTTTGCTAAATTGTTCTGAGGTCTTTAGATGCAAGACAGAATGAGAGAATGGAGGATATTAAAAGTGGAAAGCAGGAAAACATTTTCATAATGTAACTGTTAGTCACATCAACTATTTTACCATTATCATAGAAACAGAATTGCTGAATCACTTCGGTTGGAAAAGGCCTCTAAGATCAACAAGTCCAAACATTCTCACAGCACTGCCAAGGTCACCACTAAACCATGTCCTCAAGAGCCACATCTACAGGACTTTCAAATACCTCCAGGGATGGTGATTCCTCCACTGCCCTGGGCAGCTGTGCCAGGGCTGGACAATCCTTTTGGTGAAGAAGTTTTTCCTAACATCCATCCCAAAACTCCCCTGGCACAACTTGAATCCATTTCTAACATCTAAATCTCCCCTGGCACAACTTGAATCCATTTCCTCTTGTCCCATCACATACTTGGGAGAAGAGAATCATGACACGCTGTGGTAGTTTACACTTTGTCCATTATAAAAACCTGCACTTAGATGCCAGGAGAACAAAACATGAACACAGACAGCGAAGACAAAAGCCTAAATAATTTCTGAGGCATGAGTAATGACACTTCTAAATCTCCCCTGGCACAACTTGAATCCATTTCCTCTTGTCCCATCACATACTTGGGAGAAGAGAATCATGACACGCTGTGGTAGTTTACACTTTGTCCATTATAAAAACCTGCACTTAGATGCCAGGAGAACAAAACATGAACACAGACAGCGAAGACAAAAGCCTAAATAATTTCTGAGGCATGAGTAATGACACTGTTTTTCTAAGAAAGGCAAGAATAAGTACAAGTGTTATCTAAACAGATCTTGAAAGAGCAGATTCATTTAACTCCATCCCTCTAGGTACTGTCAGGAAAAAAATGTAGTAGTCATAGATGTACAATAAAAACAAATGTATTGCTGCAAATCTTTAATCCTACTGAAAAGCTCTAGGCCTCTAAGTCAATGAGTAATATCAAGCATTATCTTGCTGAGAGGTGAAGAAGCAGTTTGAGAACAACATGAGTGAGGAATTTTGTCACTGTTTGCTCGAATAAAGAAAATAAAAATATTTTCCTTATTTAAAATTCTTTACTGTGCTTTTGGAGGGTGGTTTCAAAATCTGTAGAGAGAAGGAAAATATAAAGAGAAAAATAGGATTTTTCATTCAAAGTTACTGTTGTGGCCCTGAACCAATAACCTCACAAAGTTCTTAAAATTTGTTCATTCCTTTAGAGCTTAAAATCCACTTTTTCCTGGATGTTAAATGTATTTTCCCAGGTATGTCAATACTGGACTTGGAGCTTGTAATTTAGTATAGAAGGATTACCCAGTAAAAAAAATAACAAATGAAAATCTGCAGTTAAAACGTTTCTTATTAATAATAGGTTAAGGATGACCAAAGGTTTTGACATTAATTTTCCAACCCCTGATTTCAAGTTCACTGTTGTGTTCTACAGTCCTGTAGAGAACAACACTTAAGTCCACATTATTTGGGCTTAATCTTCCATTATTGGTTTTGTTCAGAAATAAAATCTAAGCCATGAGGAGCTGGTGAGGGTGAATAACTCTTCTCATTTTTATTTCTGTTCCCTTTGAACTAGAACAACTCTTTTACTCCTCTTGAAAATATTTCATTTATCCATCTCCTGAGCATCTGAAAGTACTGACTGATCTCCTAGAAAAGGAAATCCATAGGTTTATTGCTGAGACTTCAATCTCTAAGATGGTGATTTTATTTTGAAACACAGATAAATCCGTTCCAAGTCTGGCATGAATCTTTGCTACTCTAAATCTTTCAATACCTTGTTCTTCCCTTAAGCTCCTCTCCTTGCACACAGCAGAAACACCATACATTAGCTCTTGTAGTCTCTTGGCACTAAGAGTTTGATTTTGTTTCTCTTTCATGAGACAACTATTAAAACCAAGCTGCTCAGAGCAGCCAAGTGTTCATAGAAATAGAATCAACCAGGTTGGAAAAGACCTCCAGGATCATCAAGTCCAACCCCACCGTGGTTACTAGACCATGGCACTAAGTGCCACATCCAGTCTCAGCTGGAAAACCTCCAGGGATGGTGAATCCACCACCTCCCTGGGCAGCACATTCCAATATCTGATCACTCTCCCTGTAAAAATTCTCTTCCAAATATCCAACCTAACCCTCCCCTGGCAGACCTTGAGTCTGTGCCCTCTTGTCCTGCTGCTGGTTGCCTGGGAGAAGAGACCAACCCCCACCTGACTCCAACCTCCTGTCAGGGAGTTGTAGAGGGTGATGACAATTATTAGCCCAAGTAGTTCTTATTTCGTGTCTCAAACATTTATTACTGTTTCATGAGGCTGAACTTTTATTTAACAAAGCAATTTGCCTCCTAGAAATTAAGGAGAAGTGAAGGCAATAACTTTATCCAAAGTGTTTATACTGCAATTCACATTCAATAGTGAAAAATTGCTAGAGAAGCTGATATGTTTGTGAAGACAAGAGAAGTTAAATGAACCTGTAAACTTCCAGGGGCAGGCTACTAATCCTGAAGAATTAGGCTGAAAAATTCACAATCTTTTTTCCCCTCCCCTGTTTCTCATTATTTCTAACAGATCAGACAACAAAAATCTCTATGGTTTCAGATCTGTTAGGGAACACAGTTTATTGCTGCTATCTCATCACTTTTGCTATGGTCAGTACATATCTGCACAAACCATTGCTAATTAAGTTTTCTTAAGTAGATCTTTTTTTCCAGCATAGCTTTAGGAAAATATAATGCCTCTGTAAACCCTTGTCTGTCTCATGACAAGTTATGTAAACTTTTCAAGCTCTGAAAATAGCTGTGTCATGAAGCAGAAATTACCTGAATATAGAAAAATCAAAGTACAAAGGTATCTTGCATAATTTATTTGATCATGCAATAAGAAACTGATCCTGTGATTCTATGTCACCTTCCAGGAAACCAGTTTTTAGTCTTATCTGTTGGGTACAAGAGCTTTCTCAGTTCATTAGTGTAGACTTTGTTAGTGATCTACATCTTCCAATCACATGATGCCTAAGTGTTTATTAGGGTCTACATCTTACAATCTTCAGCCACATTCCACTGACATCAAAAGGAGCTTTTCATCAGGGGATGATGACATCAAGCCTGTCTGATCTTAAGCAGCTATGCTCCATCCTTGAGCTGAGTGTTGAGAAGATCAGCCTCAGGTTTCTCATTTACTTAGACTCTCTTGGCATTTTCTGTCAATCAAGTCACAGCAAAAGCCTCAACTTTCATTGCTTCTCTCAAGTCTATACGTAGGCTCTAAAATCACTAACCAGCTGATTATGCTGCATTTAGATTTCTGTATTATAAGGTCAGGGAAAAACATTTTGATCATCTGCTCTGACCTCCAGACTGTCACAGACTGCAATACTTCCTTTAATAGACTGAGTTACTAAAGATACTCAAAACTTTGTCTTCTTGAAGTCTATATTGAAATCTGCATTTGGTTCAGCTTTTTGGGTTGACTGCTGCTGCTTGCAGTCTTATGTCTACATAAGACAAACTGTGGAGCTGACTGCTAACCAGAATGCTGAGAACTTTAAAAATTAATCTTAAAAGCTCTTATTTTGGCAGATTTACCCAATAGATGTTTACTCACCAGCCACTGACAATACTGCAGCTAGGAGCTAACACAATAACAGCACACCAGGAACTCTCAAGTCTGCTGCTAAGACTAGGAAAAAAAATACTAATTCCATGGTTTTTTTGTACAGAGATTGTACTGCACCCACAATAACAACAACAAAAACCTTTCACAGCATTGCTTGCATTTGTGTTAGGCAATTGCTATTTATGTTAGCAACTCAAACTATCAAACAAAATGCACAAAAAGCTGGAATTCCTCAGCTCTTAGTTTAATACCATTCACATTTGGGAGCTGAGGGTGGGAGTAAGTCTCCCACAGAAAAATGTATTTGATGCATTCTGTCACTCACTGAAATCTAACATTAAACTCTTTTTGAAGCTATTACACTGATTTAAAGAGAATGTTGATGTGTTGGTGTTCTATTTAACAAAAGCAAATGTTTTCCATGACTGAAAAAAAAATCTCTGTACAAAGAATAGGCATAAGAAGTCTGTTCTCTAGAAAAAGAAGTCTTGAAGTACTCTGAAGTGCCTGTTTTCTTTAAAGAATGATTTGACAATATATGGCCTGAACATCAGGGATGTTTAACAGTGATGCCACAAATGTGTTTGTATGGCATGGGCTGTTCCTTCAGACCTGGGAATCCTGAATTTGACCAATATTCAAGGATGCTACTAAAGATACAGGCAAGAGTTATCTGGAAAAATATTTCCCATCACTAAATGCCTACAGATGTGGAATAGAACTTCAGGAAAAAAAAGTCTTAAAATAAGTTTAGAAATGCAATGAGCTGAATGAGATTGGACTTGGTCTGCATAAAAGCTTGGGGTCTTTTCAAGGGCACTTCATTGTGCAAGTCCACACTAGCCAACTCACATTCTTCTGAGCAAAACCTTCTTCTATTTTTGATAGTTTTCCACTGATTGCTCCAAGTTTAGTAGAATTTGAAACACTTTGAAACTGCAAATCCCCAGAAAAGCAAAGCAGTGGGAACTCCTAATTAGCCCATGGAAAGTGTGAAGGTCCAGCCAAAGAACCTGTCTCCATGTACAGTCTTAAAACAAGTGGAAATTGTAGCTGCCACCAGACATGGACATAGAGACAAGGCTGAGAATATAAATGAGACGAAACAGTCCTAAAAACAATCCTAATAATCTGATGCCAGTTTTCAAGTTATTATTTAACAGGCACAGATGTTAGAGTCACATTTTAGTTTGCTTTTTCATGTACGTTATGAATTATTTTGCACTTCTGTATTAGTACACATTAGGCAAAAAAAACACCCTGTCTCTAATACATTAGAAATTCACTTTAGGGGGAGTTTCCCCCTCCTCAATCTGTTGACTGCTCATTTAATCATAAAATGGTTGGACAAGAGATCAAATCAACACTAAGGCTGTGCTAGCAAGAGACAAATCATCTCACTTCAGAAAATTATTAATCTTAGTGGCACTGTGCTTGTGTGCTGTGATTTACTGAGAACAAAATAACCTCACGATGCTCAATTTCAAATTGACACTGGATCTGACTAATGGCACACATTTGCTGATGTGATAAAGCCATCGACTGGTGAGGATTCATTTGGAACGGAGGGAGCAGCTGTACCATCAGAGATCAGAGTGATGAATAGAATATTGAAACATTTTTACCACAGTAAAATGCCTAGACATTATTCTTTTGAGGAGAGGCAGTTGAAGCAATTAAAGCATTGCCAGGATCAGGTGACTTTAAATTAGGTGACCTGCCTTACATGCCATTACTTTGGTGGCAACAGGCTCTAGGTCAAGACCAAATAATAAAACATCAACACATTTCCTTTCTTCAGCATTTCTTTACCTCAACTGCTCTTCTGCAAAAGACATCCACAGTTTCTATCACACAGATAAAGCACAGTGAGCTCAGGTGTTGCTGCTTTGGTCTAACTTACCTTTCAGGGACACTGAGCTGTATGTCATGACCACTTTGTCTTTTGGTGCAGTTCTGCCCTGGCCAGAGCAGAAATCTGGAGGCAGCCTGGGAAGTTTACTAACCAGACTAATCTGATCAATATTCTGCCTTTTTCCATATAGTTAAATTATTTTATTACATAGGTACTTAAACTTTATGTTCTAAATTTCTTTCATCCTTAACGTTGACTAAGAGTAAATATAACAAACACGGGGAAAAAAAGTGACTTTTACCTGCATTTTGTAGAAATCTGTACCAGTCAAATGAGAGTAAATATAACAAACACGGGAAAAAAAGTGACTTTTACCTGAATTTTGTAGAAATCTGTACCAGTCAAATGTTTCACTGGGTGTAGTCTTAATTCCTGTGTTGGAAAAAAGAGAGTATCACATGTTTGATGTCCCCTGGATGGCTGAACTGTAGTTCCTGAAGCCTAAGAAAGCAATATTTCTGCCAAGCACACTGAATTCCATACACAGTTGTTCCCCTCTCCAGCTTTTCTCATCCCAACAAGCTCAGGTTGCCTGCACAGTCCTTCCATGGACATCAGGTTGAAAGTCAGTTGAAAATTTTGCAGGGTCACACACTATATGAACTTCTTTAGCAACTCAACCATGCTAAATTTGGCCTTTTATAACCTACATACAAGATAACATTATCTGAGGGAGCACATTCCAAATCAGGCACAGACAGCTGAGACCCAAAGTCCTTAACATAAAAGAAAATAAATTAAATTTATCTAAAAACTAACTAGCAATCTAAACTGAATAGCAATGTATTTGTTTTGCCTTATGGTAAAGATTAATTATTTTAATAGTGAAACTATTCTGCTGATTTATTTAATCTCTTGGTTAACTATCACCTCACAAGAGGCCTAAATGTAGACTGAGAATGGGCTAAATAGGCTTCACAATGGGTTATTTCAACATTGCAGTTTTGGATTTTCTTTGAAATACAAAATGGAATGAGTTCTGGAATCCATAGACAGTTATTTTTAGATAAACAAGATTAGGAGCTGTAGTTTAAGTACTCACACCTAAAATACTGAGCTGAGTGTTCCCTAGATTACTCACTAAAGTCCTTTGAATTAGATGCTCATTAGGTGTCATTATGTTGGGAACTCAGATTAAAGCATTTAAAGGAATTTGGAGTTAAGAGGAAAATTATTCAGCATTAAAACTTCCATAGACTTTGGAGAAAACTCAGTGTTACCTTAGGTGTAACCTAATCGTTCAGATTTCTGCTGCAACGTATCTGAAAAAACTTATTTAAACACACCAAATGAGTTGAAAATTTAGGCTAAGAGACTGTAATATTGCCCCAATTAATGTCAGGGGCAAAAAGCTAACTCCAGTGGAGCCAGGACTTCAAATCCACACCCATTTCAGCATAGTATTTCTGGGGCAAAGAAGGTACATACATAAACATACAGACACTAAACACATGATGTAAATACAGTGAATATCTTAATCAGCATTTCAAAACTCTCACCTTGACTTTGGACATAGATTTTCTTCCTAGCATCTGGCTTTAAAGAGAAGGAGAAGAAAAGTAACTTTCATAGTTCAACATAAAATATCTGTTCAATCTCCCAAAAAGCCCAACTAGTATAACAAAATACATGTCAGTGTGATTTTCTTTTGAAATTAAAAATCAAATCAGACTCTTAGATACATTTAAGCAACACCAAAAGCCAATATTCAGCAGTGCAAATTTCAGTTATAAGCACAGTATCAACAAATTAATTGTTTGTAATTAATAACAAATTAATAGATTGTTTGTAATTAACACAATTACCAAGTGAGTAAAAATATTTTTTAGTTTATTTCTTTATCCTTCCTTATGATGGTTAACCTATTTATGGCATAGAAAATGAAAATATTTTCCTAGAATAGAAAGATTTTTAATTAGCTAGATGAAAATCAGCTCTAATTCCCCCCCAAAAATGTGAATCTTGAAAGAAAAATTATAGCTGGTTTTGAAACCACAGTCCACATTTATCCATAATAAAATTTTTAAATACGTCAGGAATTTATCTCTAACCTTTTCAGAAACTGCTGTCAAATATATGTAGATTTATCTAGCCAGGAAAACTGGGCACTAATAGTTATTACAGAACATTCCCAAATAAAAATTGAGAAATAAATTCTATTCAAATAGCTCTAGTAAAAGAGGAAATTCCTACACCTCCAAAGTCACTGCTGAAGTGCTCCTCGATTAGTTATTTCGTTTAGGTGATTAAAGAAGCAATTTCCTCTTTCAATATCTTTCTATAACTTCAACTGTGAGTTTGTGGAATATATTTTTTGTCATGGAAAAACAGAACTAATTCAGAAACAAACTGCTAAACAACCATTTCCTGAACTAGTCAGCTCAGAAAAATAAGAAGCCACAGAAGTGATTTTCTTTTCCTTGCTAATATGTTGGATTTCCTCTATGGCTCCTGTATGACTCTCATTAGTCCCTGCCCAGTCACAGCAGCTACTAAAAATGGACTAGAAAAAGAAACTGAAAGAAAAGAGGTCATTAAGAAAGAGAAGAATCATCAAGGAGCAGCTCACAGATGGGAAGGAAGTGAGTTCTGAGAATCAGAGTGAACTACGTCACAAAAACTACATGGAAAAGCAGCAAATCCACATGGAAATCAAGTTGGGGGACAACAACTGTTTATCCTACAGTGGAAGACTAAAGATATTCTATGGACTTTATCTTTCACAACCTACATGAGATTTTGTGTTCAAAGGAATTAAAATAATCAAAATAGATTAGGACATTATTACATTATTATATTACTTAACATTGGATCTTATTTTACCTATAAAAAAAGGGACATTTTAAATTATGTTGGATCTTTCAATCATGAAAAAAAAAAACCCTTACAAACTATGGAGACAGCACTGCAAGCTAGAGGACATCTCCAGGTTTAAATGTGTAGTACAAGTGGGAGAGCTGAAATTCAGCACTTGGACACAGAAAAATGGAAAATAATAGGAAAATCATGGAAGAGAGAACAGTGGGAATCAGCCTTGCCCACGTAGCTGACACACTGCACAGACCTGCCTCAAACTCTGGTGGGTCAACATAGAATTTTAGTCCCCCAAACCCACTAAGTTATCAAAAGAAGTTTAAGCATCTTGTTTCATGCTCTGCTGGACCTCAAATGGCTTACGGTGAGCAAATAGAATCCTGCCAGGGCTTGGTTCATCAAGAAGAAAATAGCAGGAATCCTGTGCAACAGGGTGTAGAGATGTATTCACACTTTATAGATCAATTTTCTGTTATGTTCTTCATTTGAAATGGTCTTGGGGAGAATGGAAAAATGAAATTGATGCTAATAAAAGTGGCTTAGGTAATTTTTATGCACCGGTTTATGGTACTGAAATAAAACACTGACCATAAGCCCAAAATCTTTTATAATATGTCCAACTGGCTTGAAATACAGATTATTACAAATGCTGTATTATGTGCTTCATCATTAAAGGTAATTTATCCAGTGTAACAGAAAGGAATTTGTTGGAAGATACAGCCCTGGAGCACAGTGCAATTGCTTACATGTTTGTCATTTAAATACTTCACTAATAAAGCACAGATTAGAGGAATAAAACAGCTCACATGAGTGTGAGCTAATATGCAAAAAGTTAATATTCCATGACCTAGGTATGGAAAGATGTATTCATATTCTTCACTGCTTGAAAGCAAATCTGTTGCCTTTGCTCTCACTCTTTACATGAAGATGCAACTAGGACTAGAAGCCCAAACCCATCATTTAAGACACAGGGAGCAGGTGATATTTCACTTTAGGACTTGAGAGATTTGCCTCCAATTCCATGTCTTCCACAGACCCCCAGGACACTGAATGAGTCTAACAAGCCTGGAGCACAAAGGTGTTCAGGTAAAATCAAAGTTTGGCTCCTAAAAACACTTGAGATGCTGATTTTGAAAGGATTTCAAAGTTCAGTTTTGTTTCTCCTCCTTCAAGTCTGTTACTTTTGTATTTTCCTTGCTTAAGAACTCTAACAGAAACTTCCCTTTTCCATTTACCCATCATGAAGCTCATTGTAATAGCTATTAAAATAAAGTGATACTTGTAATCTAAAATACCAAATAATAGGTCTGCTCATTTTAATGCAAATAGATTTTAAAAAACAATTAATGCTGAAACAAAGTATTGTATGTTCAAGTGTTGTGCAAGCTCCGAGTGATTATTTTTTAGGCAAGGGTACATCAATGATTATATTATGATGCAAATTAGAACTGAAGAGATACCAAGCACTTCATTTCTGGTTCTTGCATGTGTTGTTCAGCTTCAGCTGATGTTTCCCAAGATGAGGTGAGAGGAGCTAACACCTCTCTGCAGCTGGAAGAGGTTTGCTCTTTTTATCCCAGATAAATAATTCCTGCTTACCCCTCACTGCATCTGGTGCTCGTTGCAGTTCTCTGTGGTTCAGTACAAGTCCCTGCACAGTAAGTTAGCTGGAAAGCTAACCCTGCACAGATGTTCACCTGGGCTAACCAGCCACATCAGCAAGCCCTGCTGCCTGGTGTGGGGTTTTTCACAGGTCACCAGTGCAGCCTGACACTACCCAAGAGCATTCCCTGTCCTTAGGTGACTGGCAGCTCTTTATGGTCTTCAGAAACAAGGATTGAGCACTGCCAACGTCAAGGGTTTGCCTCAATTTTCTCCACTGGCAACTTGCTATCAATTCAACCAGGTAAGGGTAGAAATGTTGACCCATTCTATTTTCAAACAGGATCATCAGATACTAAAAATAATCCCACTAAAGGTACAAAGAGGACTTGCAGTGCAGCACAGGCAATGGTACCCTACTAAATGAAGAGAATAAACCATTATTACTCCTGGTTCTTTGTTGGCTAAATAATTTCTTCAAATACATTGCTAATGTATTTGACCATTCCACACAGTGTGCTTTGCTTTGAGGAAAGATGAATTTTCAGAAAGTGAAGTGCTATTTATGTGCTTCACATCCAAGGCCTGATGAACAGAGTTCTCTGTCATCGATTGCTGGGCTTAGCAGAGCTTCAAATTTACCTCTACAGTTCACCTGAAGAAGTTCATTAGCTTCAAATTATTTACCTCTACAGTTCACCTGAAGAAGTTCATTCTATTTCCAGTATTGACAATTCTTCCAACTTCTTTATTATAACTCATGCTGTCTAGTGGAATTTTGTCAACTTAAAATTGATTAGATGATGCAAAATGAAACAATATATGCATATGGCATCAGGAGAGACTTGATAACAACAGCAGTGATTAGTTTTAAATGTTACAGAGAAGATTTCCTAAACTGCTCTATGCTCTTTGCAAATATAATCAGCTTTTAAGTGCCAGATCTATTTGACCTGCCCAAGTACATAAATATTAAATGCTTTCTCTGAAAGGAAAAACAGCAATAGAGAACAATGAAGATTATTGCGATTCTCTAGGACTATTTAGAAAACATTTTAGGAGAATGCAAATTTGCTAATACTATAAGCATTACCATTATCATGTAAACATACCCACTCTGCTGCTGCCAGTTCCTTCATTTTCACTGTGAAAGCCACTGCAAACCTAGTTAAATGGACAAAAATAGTTGGGATCATCTGCTTAAAGTGCTTAAACATAAAAACAGAAAAGTGCTTCAGGAAAAAAAATAGTCTAAGAACTAAGATCAGAGGCTTATGAAATTATCACAGATGGAAAGACAGAAAGCAGGATTTCTATTTGTTTTAGCAGCAAACAGGGGTTAAACCAATGGGAGCTCTTCAGGCTTTGCATCTCAGAGCTCTTGGGACGGTAAAGTGAGGATTTCTCAAAGTAAGAGAGAACCCAAATACTGGGAACATTCTGCAGTTTATCGGAATTAATTATCAGCTGCATTTCCTGTTTGTCCATGACTATTGGTTCCAGGAAACCTCTTCACAAACACAGGAATGAGAGAGCTGAACTCCAGTTCACTCCACACTGTTTCACAATACCCAGTGCCACTGAGTGCAGCTCACTGAAACTGAGTTTAATTCAATGGAGCAGAGGGATTTTTTTAAAGCTTTCCCCAATGTTCTCTTTTTACTTCTAGGTAGTCAAAACTGTCAATGAGTAACAAACTTAAGTGTCTTTGAGAAATGTATGCAGTGCGTTATGACTCTACATAACAGAGGAGTTATGTCAGAGACCATTTAAAAGCAACATTGATAAAAACAGTTTTCATTTTTGGGTGCCTCATTAAAGCCACAGAATATACGAACAGTTTTCAGTTTTGGGTGCCTCATTAAAGCCACAGAAATCTGATTTCTAAACACACTGGATAAGCAGGTTTTATTACTGGGACCTTGAATACCAAGAAGTTGTCCAAGATACTTTTATGGAGTCAGAGTTAATAATGGATCCCTGCTCAGAAAAGATCTTAAGAACATGATCAGTAATCGGACATTGGGATGTGCTGCTCAGGGAGGTGGTGGATTCACCATCCCTGGAGGTTTTCAAGCTGAGACTGGATGTGGCACTTAGTGCCATGGTCTAGTGACCACAGTAGGGTTGGACTTAATGATCTTGGAGGTCTTTTCAACCAGGTTGATTCTATGATTGTATGACGGACTTTAGTGTAGCTTTTAAGTTGTAATCAAATATAAACACATGCTTTGGATGTTCTTAAATGGAACTTTAATGCTAACTGGAACCACAAATTGGGTCATTTCTGAAGGCTGTTAGTCCTGTGGGACAGATGTCTGGATGCCTCCTCCATATGAGACAGAATCTGTTCAGCAAAATCCCTTTTTTAATTACTTGTATAGATTTTGAATATGAAACAGAGCTCAGCACATTGCACTCAGGATTTGATGTTTCTTTTTCATGTAATTTATGAAATGTTTCTGTCCTGAGCCAACACTATGACACCTCAATGGCTAGAGATAAAGCACAATGCAAAGTCACAAGCAGAACTGTTCCACTGGAGATATGAGGTTATAATCTGGGGACATGAAATCACAATCATTCATTAGACGTCGCATAAATGCTGAATTATAACTCCTTTGGGGACATGAAATCACAATCGTTCATTAGAAGTCGCATAAATGCTGAATTATAACTCCTACTATTGTTTGTCAAAACTAACCTTATTCCCATACATTTGTTTTGTAGTATCTGCTTTATGGGACTACAATGAATTTCACATACACAACTTGACAGCTTTAAGGTTATTAAAGCCTTTGCAAATGCTTGTTTGGTCAAGTTGCACATGCTCCCTTCCCAGATTTTGCAATTATACTTTCAATACATCATATTAACAAGCATAAAAAGATGTTGCTCTTAAGTCTACAAAATACTGTTCAATAGAGAAAAAAAAATTCCCTAGAGGAGTACAAGCAGCATTTAGAGGAATTTGATTAAAAATGAAACACTCATAAAGCTAGACAGTGTTCAATACTTTTTTTTTTATGGAATGTGGGGGTATGTTGTACTGGACAAGTAATCTACAATTCATGATACTTTCTGCTTAGAACCCTGCAATCAATAAAGAAGGAAAAAAATCAATGTTGCTTTTAATAACTATGCAATGAATAATACTAGTGATGATACTGAAGAAGAGGTACATTCTAGAAAACTGAATTAATTCTCCTGAAGCAAAGAGAATATTGTAAACTGCATAAGAATGGAGCAATACATTTTGAAACATCATAGGAAATTCAAGCTATTAAAACATACTTGAGTTCCCAATTTAATTATAATTAAAAACCATTCTGTAGAACACGGTTTTGCAAAGCTGTGTTAGCTGTATTTGTGGCAGACAATGTTTTAAACCCAGAAATGGATCAAATGGACACAGAGATTCTGGTGTTATGTATTTTTCATTTTGCAGAGTGCTGAAATTTAGTGACCCATTAGATATCTTTTTCTTTCCCTTCAGACCTGTTTAGAGCACAACTTCTGATTATTTGATAACAAAAAAATCAACAAATATATAAATTTCCTCTTCAATGGGACCTTAAGTTGCTTTCAACTCCAAGTCACACTAAGACATAAGAACATACCCTAATGATTTTTCAATGAGTGTGATTAAGTGCTGTCTTTAAAATCTGTTTACTTACCACGTTTTGCAGGGCACTATAGACAGAACAGCACATCTAGGTCAGCATTAAGTGAGCTAATAATAGTTAGAACATAGAGTGGTATTAGCAGAGATAAAACTAGGAGAGAGAAGCCTGTTGCAGGTTCTTTCTGAACCCAAATCCATACTGCCCCACCTGAACTGCTGGAGCTATCTGTCTTAACTACAGTGTGATGAATGAATGGAGAGTATCCTGATCTTTAAGCTCACCTAGAGTAAGAGCCCAAGCAGTGTCCCTGGGTATGACAACACATCCAGATGCCTCAATTTTGTCTCACCTTGTGCAACTTTACTGCCACCAAAACAACATCCTTCTCACAACCTCCCACAAGCTGACTTCTCTCATGAAAGGGGGGAAAGAACAACCCAGGCAACAAAAAGCCAATTTTATGCCACTTAGTGAGTTAAACCTGCTCAGAAAGTAGCCCAGTCCTGGCACAATGAAGACTGGGTCACACAGCCACAAGCAAGAGAAAGGAGAAGGAGAGGAAGGCAGAGCAGTAGAATTAGCTCTGCCATCAGTGATCTATCACACTGGCTACTCATGAAATGACAACCTTAGCCTCTATCTTAGTAAGACTTATGCTATCTATTAAATTAATTTCATCCACTGAAAGCTTTACATACATAAAATGCTTTAGTTTCTAATAAGAAAAAGGCTTAGTTGCCCATCACAAACATGATCAAACACAGCTGAAGTCAACAGACCTAACAGAGGAAACTTCTTTGCTGAAGATGTTGAAACAACGGGAAATGCTCAAAAAACTTTTTAGTTTTTAGTCATTTTCTCTGATTTATGATCAGCTCCTGAACTACATTTAATGACTCCACTGACATGTCACTAGAACTTTTCAGGACCCTGAAAATACTCCCTTGTCAATTCACCTCAAAAACGGAGTGAATTTGCTTAAAAACTTTTTTCAGTCTCTGCTTCTTTGTTCACATATCCAGAGAAAGGATTGCATTAGCAGGTGGAAAAAAAAAAAAAGGAACAAAAGCCCCTTATACTTGAGTGATCTGCTTTTCAATCAAGCCCTCTGTCAGTAAGCTAAATGTGAGGCCTCTGAGAACAGGTTTGATTCCGTGATGCAACAGGACAATGTCAGTTATTTTTAGTCATCATCTCACTTAAGTCAAACTGCTGATCTCTTTGGTCTCTATGTGCAGATAGCTCTTAATGCAAATATTTGTTAGTTCCAATACAGAATATTTTATATGCTTAAATATATGTAACTTAACCCAGAATTTACTGAGAAACAGAGGTTTAAAAAGCCTCTGGAACTGTATTTAGTATTTTTGGTGCAGGGTCTTGGCAAATGGGGTCTAACCTTGATTAGGCTAATATTTACTACATTGTTGACATTACCACAATAAGAAATAATAAGAATATTCATACCTCCCTTGTTAACAAATATTTGCTATTTAAATATCATATCTCTACCACTAATCCACCATTAACCACCTCCACTACTGAAGATTCACTTTTTAACTACCAAATATGAGTCACTTCATGGCCAGAATAGTTCTGTACAAATGGGAACTGCATGGATATTGTTGGAGATGCTTAGATGTGTATTTCTTTACTTAAATCTCTGCAAACATAAACAATCCAAAATAATTTTGGCAAGAAATTGAAACTTGATGGCATAAAATTGTATCAATTACATGCCAAATAAACTACAGTCAAGTTCACACAGTCCAAAATTACACCATCACAGGCTCTTTATAAAGTCTACCCATCAAGGAGATATTCTACAGAGTAATATACTGCCAAATCCCAGGTTAAGTTTTCTTGCTAATATTCTTCTCCCTTCTTTTACCTGCCTCAGAGTTTTATATCCTCATCACATGCATAGTTCTATTATTCTAGACAACAGTTATGATTCAGTAGACAAAGTAGAGGATTAGTTAGCACAGATTTCATGAGCTTTTAATGGGATTTGAGTCTTTTTGAAAATTCCCAGCCCAAGAGATCAGGTTTCAGCACGACTTCTGCCAACTCTTGCATGGTCAAATAGGATGAAACACTTGTAACAGAGGAAATATCAAAAGAATAGTCTACATAGAGACTGTATTTTATGAAGAAACTGTTCTACAGCCATCACTGAATCATAAAATTATATGTAGAGATCACAGGGATTTCAAGTAGTCTTTGTCTGCTGGCCTACACATCTCCCAGGGATTCCAAGCATTTATAGAACACTTCCTGAAAACTTTGCCAGTACAAAAATGCAATTTCCTCTCAGAAATGTCCCACACATGCTCTTACCTGGCTTCCTCCAGCACTGCTCCCATTACCCGACGTTTCTCTTCACATTTCATATCTTCATTTATATCTGTCCCACCAAAGATGATTCCAAAGGGAATTCTGCTACCTGCAAAGAAAAGACTACAATGAGAAGTTGGCCAGCGTGTCAAGGTAATGACTAAGAGTGGGTACTAAGAGCTAAAAAGCACATGGATAATAGTTTATCACATATTTAAGCCAAAAAACTTTGAAAAGAAAACCTGGAGAAACTTGGATGTTTATGGTTTTGGCACTGAAACCTCCAGACAATAACTGTGCAATTTCACAGCATGTCAGTCTGCTGGATAGCTGTGAGATTTTATTTCATTTTTCCATGCTTAGTGAAAATAATCAATTAGATTCTAAACTTGGCAGCCCACCAAACAGCACATATATATTTTCAATGTTAGCCACATTTTAATAAAAGGTAGCATTGCAAAGTTGGGTCCCAGGTATCCAGTCTCAGCCACTCATTCACTGTCCCCTCAGGCACTCCAAGGCTGTGGTTTGGGTAACTGTCCTGCAAAGATGGTTACTGGGCTTAATATTTTTTTAGTATTGACTTTTGAAGCCAATTTTACTTCTACTGATGGAGCCACACCATAGGAAAATGTCACCAAGTCAAATAAAGCACTATATGTGAACCTGTAATAAAATCTTTGTTTTGCCTAACTCCATCCCAAAAAGATGGATGTGTTGATAACTGATTGTTACAAGACCTTCTGTGATCACCCAGTTTAAGAAAGTTGTTTGAGGATGCCTTACAGTGCTCAGAACACTATGAGCAGAGGAAGGTGGTTGGCTTTGCGGCAATCTGTGAAAAAGACTGTGTCAGCATTCAAATTTTAGAGTATCAACAAAATCATATACATCCTAATGCTGTCTGCACTCTGGTAAATCCTGGTTTTGACACATGGCATCAGAATAAATGCATATTTTCCTAAGAGTAAAGCCAGGGTAGTGTTGCACTTTGTGCTAACAACAGCTAGACTTACATGGAAGGGTCAAAGACTATTTAGATAACAACACAAAAGCCAAAAGCAGTGTAAGATTCCTTTCTAATAGTATTGCTTGTCTTGGAGTCAAGTTATTTTTAGTAAGTGGCCACTAATGTTCTCCCCTGAAGCTAATGAAGATAGCAGACAATGATGTTTACTGTCGATTGTTTCAGCACTGAGAGGGATTAAGTGGTCAGTTTTACACCACATTAAGCTAACAAATAACAACCTCCTGGTGGCTAATTACTACATGCAGAACATAGCTTGAAATACCAAGTTTTGCAAAAGAAACAGTCTCAGTAAGACAGTCTCCAAACACTGTCTTTAAGTTGGCCAATTCTGTGGGTTTTGCAGATATCTGTTAGCCAAGGCTTCCTTCTGCCTGAGAACAAGAGTAGCAGTTAGGTTGTACTGCCACTACAGTCTATGAATCAAGAAATAATCATAGAATCATAGAATTTAGGGCATAGAATGGACCTTATAGATCATCCAGCCCCAACCCCCTGCCCTGGGCAGGGACACCTCCTCACTAGATCAGGATGCTCAAGGCTCAATCCAGCACCTTGAGCACCTCTAGCCACCACATCCCTGGGCAACCTGTGCCAGTGTCTCACCACTCTTACATTAAAAACTTTTTTCTAATATCTAACCTAAACTTCCTCTCCTCTCCTTCAAATCCATTAGCCCTTGTCAGATCATTGCATCAAAGGCAGAATATGCTTTGTTTTCTCTTGTTTGCTGTGGGATGGAAAAGGAAAAGGGATCAAGGACTCAGCAGACAACACTGTCCTCAGCACTGGACCAACGAGCAGGACACAAGAGGTTCCTGCATTGATGGAGGTTCATCCTTAGAGAGATAACTGACCTTGAATGTTCATGACTGTGAAAACTCTTAGTGACATGTTCTATAAATGCTCACAGTTCATTAGAGGGTGAGAGGGTTAAATTCAGTGAACTCTCCTAATTAAAATTCATGGCTTAAAACAAGTAAGCAAATCTTAAACCAAATGATAAACAAAATAAATATGTTGATAAAGATGGAAAATGTACTGCATGTTTCATATTTATAGCTGAAAATTAAGTGAGCTGTAAGATGAGGATTTATTAGCATTGCTAATTTCCTCATTACTAAATGAAAGAACAAAAAGAATGAAAGACTAATTACCATTCTGGCTAAGAGAATTTCCTTAGCATTTTTAGATATTATAGTCTAATGTTTGCAGGTGAAGACAATGAATGTGCATTATCAAAGCACCGCAGCACTAACCTTCAAGAGATTTACTTTCTGTAACACAATATAAAATATGTATTGCCTTTCTAATAAATTTAAAAAAGGAAATAATTATGTCATTTATTACATGTGCTGATCATACATCCCCAAACATGTACCCAAAGTTTCCAGGATGAGGCCTGAAAGGTTGGATGTTTCTGACTGTAATCCCTAAATTTCTCCATGTTACAGGAATCAGGAATGTCCTTTGAACCACTTTTTTCCCCCCAAGAAGTCTGAAATAACTTTTGCACTTTAACTAAGATCACTGTAGTAATCTTACCTCTTACTGTCTCACTTTCCACAGATTTCTGGTTCATTTTTCTTTCAGTTATTGCAGATGCTTTTTGGAACAGTATGACTGATTTGTTTAAATCACTGAGCTTTTGTATATCATTCAAGTATTGGGCTTTGAAGGTCACTTGGGATTTGGAAAAGCTACTAGCAACAGCATTCAGGCATTGCTATGCAAGTCAAACTCCAAAAAATATTTTACAATAAACATTTAAAATTCAAGCTGATTTTCTGTTCCTTAGCAAAAAGAAAAATGAGGCAGTTTCCAGACTTTCCATGAGCCTCTTCCAAAACAATTCTAGATCTTGTCAAAAAAAAAAAAAAGTCATCTATATTCCAACAAGAGAAGCCTTAATAGATATGTTAGCAGAGATCATCTTACAGAATTATTTGGGATTTGTATCCCAGGGTCCCTGCTGAAATCAGAGCTCCATTGCAGTGAAAGAAACACTAGTAAGCCACACATCCTAATTCAGGCTTCCTGCAAACTCCCCCAGCACAAACCGTGGGGGCACTTCTGAACAACAGAACCTGCACTGAGATCTGATGAAAGCACCAAATTATGTGCTTTTCTCTAAGGGAATAGATTTAGATAATACAAAGGTGATCTCAAAAATTGGCTATGCACTTGCAGTTTCAATAGGTGTCTGCAGTTCTGAAAGCCAATGCCTCTCGTGTATCATTAATGTCAGACTAACATTTCGTTCTATGTGGCTACACAGAAGAGAGAGTTTTATTATTTGTCTGACAACATTCTATCTCCTATAGCTTCAGCTGACAGGAACCACATCCCAGAGTTATTTCATGTCCAAAAATCCCTGACTAATTTTTGAAGAGAAAAATCAAATTAGCCTCTCTGCTTTCTTCGTTTGACCTCAGCTATCTTTAGCCAAGCCATTGTCCTCTGCAAGAACACAGCTGTGAAAGTATCCTAATGTTAATATAATGCTCTTATCTTGATGCAGTTAAAGTACTTAATTACAAAATGCACTATGTGCTTTTAAAAGCACATTTCTTTAGTTCTCTCCTCTCTGGATCAGATCTCCCACAGAGAAAGATTTTCAGCATTCCTGAACATTTGATGAATTGGATAAACGGAATAACGACACGAAGTGTGGGTTGATACATTTATAGCAATTTCTAACTGTTAGTATTCATTCTCTTCTGTTCCAGAACTTTTTTAAGAGGTATTTTTATTGCAAACCAGAAAGAGGATTACCTTGCAGAAGTCTGCCTCCTTTATAGAGATGAATGGCCAGGGCTGCATCAAATTTGTCTGTGGAGGTGAGATTTGCTATTTCAGCTGGACTTTCATACATGAAAGCATCTTTAAGAACACAGATATGACCTGCAGCATGGAGATGATCCCTTCAGCATTGGAACAGAGAGAGAAAGAATTATAAAATCACTATTAATATTGTAGCCATGACAATATATTAAGTTTTATATTAACATTTTTCCCTAAATAATCTTTGCTCCTACATTCAACTACATGTTATTTTCATTCAAGCAACCAGGAGCTGTTTACAAGGTTGGGTTTTCTTTCCTGGAAAATATTTGTTACCTTCACCATTGTGAAGCCACTTCCAAGCAATGTAATTTACATCCATTGCCAGGCCCAACCCTTATTAACAAAACATTTGAAAATTAGGGGAAATGAAGTATGTGCTGGATCTTTCCTGACTGAGCTTCAACTTAACAGATTGAAAAGATTCTTTGTGAATTGAGTGTGTTAGACCTTGGTCTTAGAGAGTCTCAGATCCTTGGTCTGGGGAAAAGCCACCAAGTGAAGAAGGTACAAATATATCCAGCTAATCAATGCTACTGAAAATACAGAACATCTAAAGGAATGAATGCATCAATAAAACCAGAGAATTGAGTTGTGTCCCCTTTCTGTTTGATTGTGGGTTTTATTGCTCTTGTCTTGGCTCATCCATTTGTAAAACAGGCACAGGATAATTGAAGCATAAGTAACAAACTACACAAAAGTCATTACACAAATACTTTCATGGTCTGTTTTAAAAAATCTCAGTTGCTAAAAAGCAAAATAAACCCAACTAACAACCACCAACAAAACCTCCTCAATGTCAGCTCATCCATTCAGCTTTACGTATAATGGTTCCTCGTATTAAAACATTAATTTAAAGACTGCCAAAGTCAAAAAACTAATCGATTACAGGCAGCTTTATTCCTCCCACTGAAACCAGAATCAGTTATCAATGTTTCCAAGGACATCAGCCAAAAAACATACAGGAGAAAATCCGTGTTTTGATAGAAACTGGCACGCTGTGTCTGCTGACATGTAGTGTTTACATTTGCAGTGTTATAAAAAGACCACAAGAATGTTTTCTTGCTTATTACATATTGTTCCAAGTTGATTCATTTCTCATTGTGTATTAATTGTTCTGGCATTAAAATCCTGCTAACTCAATAGCTTCCTGGATAATGTTGGCTCTTTCGTTTCCTGATCATTTCATATCCTCCCAAGAAATGTAATTTTCTTTCCTGCAGAACTTAGTCATTACTGCAGAAATTGGTGCTAAAAACATTGTAAAATGTCTCGAGGCCTTGGAAGGAATGTATTAGCACTATATCAGAGAGAGCTCCACTGGCACAACATATGGTGCTGTATTTCTTCCTCATCCTAAGAAGAAACTCCTTTTGCTTTTAACTTCGCTGTTTGAAACAAGACCAATAAATTCTAATAAGTACTAATAAATAATAAAATACAGCCAGATTGTAAGCTCCTTATTTACACTGTCGAGCAATTATTTACATCAGTTGTCCCATGAACTGTTTCCAAGTACCTGTTTGCCTTTTGAAAGAGGCTCTCAATTTATATCTAAATAATGATGCCCAAATCTCACAGCTGTGGAAAGAAGATCTCCCAGGCAAATACTTGGGATGCTCATGGATGCATTCCATAATTTCACAGGTGCTCATTAAAGAGTCTAAAAGGATTTTTTCCCCATCAGTATTCCAATTACCATAAATCACTATCAAGTACAAGCAATATGTTTGCATATTACAATTAATTTGAAAATAACTCTCTCAGGACATCAAGAATCAAGGAACTCAGCTAGGAATTTCAATCAAAAGTGGTTATTTTTTTTAATCTACTAGGAACAAATACTTTTCCTCCACAGTTTCCACAGCTCCAAATCTCACTGAGGAATGACAGCTGGTTTTGCAGTAATAGAGAGGGACTCCCTCAAGTGTTCCAAGGCTCAGAAATTGTGGATTACCTCAATTTTTTTTTCTATACCTTTTTTTTCCTCCCTACTCAGGAGCACATAAAAAATTTGCATAGAGCTCAAGAAGGAAAAATTACCAAATTATCCCCAGAATAATTCAAATTCCCAGATTTAAAGAGACCTAAATCCCATAAACATACCATTGAGTTCAATGTCATTAATCACAGGCTTGAAATTATGCATATATGGAAATCCGTGTGTGGAGAAGCAGAGTTATTGGGTAGTATTTAAGTACTGGAATTTACAGTGATATTTTCATATTTTCTAAATGACTTTTCATTTTTCTAAGCAAAAATAAAGCAGACTGATTTTCACACATATGGTCTTATCAAGGAACATGATAAGAGGGAGCTGCAAAGTTATTGCAGGAGATTTTTTTTTTTTTTTTTTGAAGACTGATCTGTCTATGAAGACACAGATGTCCCTGAATCAAGCCAAGCCAGAAGAGATACATTGCCCACATCTTGTCTCCTCACGGCAACTGTGTATTCGCATTATTTTGTGGTTTCAAAACCAAATACTTTCTGAATGAAAAATAAATATGAACACATCTCCTGCTGTCTGGGAATCAAAGAAAACCCTGAAAATGCTGAATCTCAAGGCTACATTTTCTCTCTCTCTCAGTTTTTTTATGTAGCAGATAAATTTCCAAGTAAGTGTGTCAACAACCAGCGACTATTGCTTGGATTCAGAACTTGCCTTGCTCTGCCACATCTTTCCCTTCTCCTGAAACTCTCATTGAAGTCAATGCCATGACTTGAGAAGAATATTTCTAAAATAGAGTTGGGCTGCCACATTCCACAGTTTGGTTTTTAACCAACAGGGAAAACTTTAGTCATTCAGTAGGTGTGAAAGATCATTTAACTAAGTATATTACATTGGTCACTGCTTACACTGTGCTATTCACATACATCTGAACATTGGAGAAAATATTTCCCAGTCCCATTGACTTTAGTACTCAGGAAATTTAATATTTTTAATTAAATTTTTTATATTCTTTGGAAATCATGAGGTTTAAAAGTGAAACTTGTGTCAGCTCTGGATCTATGCTATATGCAGTGAGATATTGCTAAAAGTTACAACCATTTTCTGACATGTTTTCATTTTACTTAAGATTTCTGTAGAAAAACATTTTTCTCTAACACAGCTACAAAATACGAAGTGATGTTTTACAGCTTCATTTCTGATTTCCTACATTATTGATCACTTCTCACTTTTAGTGCCTAGCAATCTTTCCTCCTTCAACCTGAATCTGCAGTTCACAGGTTTTTCATACAAGGAAAGAGTTTTATAGGCCCAAACACAGCCTGGCCAAGGCACAGTGAGTTAAAAGTGTGCTCATTTCTGAGGTATTTATGTGATTTCCTGCGATGTTTTCCTCTCAGAAACATTTATGTTGTAAATTTTGAGCGATATTTCAATAGAATTACTTGCAAAGGATGTTTGATTTCCAAAAAGTTCCTGATACGTAGACACACTGACACTTCTTGAATGGCACAAAATAGGCTTCATCCAAAAATATGAATTCTCTCTTTCCCCAGGCTGTCTGTTCTGTAAAGCAGCTCTGCATCAACTACTCTTAAATGTATACAGCACAATTCAAAGTTTGTGGAGTGAGCAGAGTCATTGCACTGCCTCTTCTGAAACTCAGCCAGGCCTGAGTACTCCCAAATCCCACTGAAGCTGATCACATTACAAGAGCTGAAACTCTGCTTGATCTTCTCTGTTTTCTTTGTAAATCATCTGATTATTTTCAGACTTGTTAAAGCAATATATTCCTCATTTTATTTCTCTCTTAAACTTCTCCTTTATGCAACACAGACAAATCATGTTGTCATGAATGAAGCATGAATAAAATTCCCCATGAACAGGATGAGAAATTAAAAATGAGTGAAGATGGGGAGCAACACCCTCTGTCTCTATGTTCTGAAGTCAGTGATTGAGCTTTGGAAGAACAGAATAACTCTGCAAACTTTAATCCTGCCTTATAAATACGTTTTGCTATGCAAAACATTTTGGGAAGCAGCAATCATCAAGGGCAGGCCATGGAAATGATTACATCTAAGTCCCAGAGGTGGAGGATGAACACCTGCCTGGCATGTGTCCTGCTCCGAGAATGGCTGTGCAAACAACAGCAGGCTGTGCCACCTGACACAAGAAGGAAAAGGAGCACTAATGGTTTGCCATGAGAAGAAGAGAACCTCCTGCTGTATGAGTGCCCTGCTGTGTGATGGGAATGGTGGCAGATAAGGTAAGACTCAATAAAAGAAATATTTAGGCTCAGAATTACTGCAATAAATGTCTAAGCTGAAAAACAATTGGAAAGAGGAATGCTAAGCGTCATTGGATTTGTGTGGTTGATTCTCTTGCAGTTGATTACCTGGAGATTTACAGGACGGCTATCTCAACTGGCATATTTTAATGAGAACCAAACCAAAAGTATTTATATATTGACAAAATACTTCATCTAAATCTTTCTAATCAACCAATTAATTCTAGCTTTCTGCTCCTCCTTACTACCAGGTAATGAAAGATAAACACAGCATTTCAAGGGGCAAAGAAGATTGATTTCTTTTCTTTCCTGACACCCTCTTTGAACTCATTTCTAAGGCTGAAGAGTGGCAACCTATTGCTTAGTGTTGTATTCTCTACTCATTACTCATATTTTTTAAGGTGATTAAAGATTATGCACACCAATACGAATAAAGGCCACAGCACATTCATTATACCACTTGTTTTAGCAAGCTTATCTCCAGCCAAATTAGATTCTGGTACCTTTGTCACCAGTTACTTTAAACTCAGGAAATTAATATCTTATTTATGTAAAGATGAAGCAGTTATGGGAACAGCTGTAATACCATAAACATAGTATACACAGTGATATTAAGCCATAAAACTAATCTCTGCTGGCAAGGGACCAAGCCGGAGACAATGTCATTGTTTTATTTATACTTTACCTAAAGTTGCCATGGTTTGATACAGAGAATATGACTGAACAAATAAATTCAGAAGTATGTACATAGATACAACTGCAGCCAAATATTGATTGGAATATGTATTTTATGTGTATCAACATGTAAGATGCAAAGTTTGTCATGTGAACATAACTTCAGG